TGCTAGAGACTGCACTCTACCTGCAGGTATTGAGCATTGTGGTTGCTTCAGTCAGGCTGCAATGCTTTTTACTATCCCACGTTTCTAAATGATTTGGGTAAATGGCAAGCTAGAGTTGGCTGAATCATTAGAGTACCTCATGAAAATCAGAAAGAAAGAATTCATGACATATGCATATCACATATTCTTTTAAAACCCATAAAATGCTCCATTTAATGTAACAATCCATAACCTGGAGATGCGATGATTCTGAATTTGAAGACTTTTTCCCTTCCTCCTTTTGGAATCAATTTCTAGCTAACTATCAGTTTGCATCTAGAGAATGCTGTCAGATTGTAGCACTCGCTAAGCAAGTGTATTTCTATAACTAAATTGCTGATATTAAGCGGCACAATCTTCCCAGTCCATGCTGTAGAAACACATCTCGTATATTACAGGCTGAAAGAAACACGAACTCCTAGAAAATTATCAATTGAAGAGGGCTTTAAACCTGTCATCTTTCGCCTTTTAAATGAAAAAAGTTAAAAGGAATCACATTTGCTAAATAAAGACTAGAGGTATTTTCTACACCAGGTATATATTCAAATTAAATGACAAGTTACCAATATTCCAGAACCACCTGCTACTTTTATTTTAAAAACTGTTGGAAATAAAATGCAACTATATTTGAAAACTATTTAAATATTAAACATGATTGTTAAGAGTATTGAGAATGGACTTAAAATAAGTTGTCATTTTTCCAGTTTTACAACCATGATGGTTTAAATTTTTACCTGTTTCAAACTAAGTGTGTTTTTAAAAATAATAGACAGCTTTTAAGTTTAAAAGCAGCACATAAATACTTAAGGAGGTGAATTTCTTGCAGTTTCAAAACACTTTTGTACATCACAAGCATCAATCCTAAAAAATGCTTTGAATGAGTCTGTTTACCATGACATCCTCAAGTAACATGACTGACTACAAATTTCACCAGGCTGTGCTCTGAACTATCTTGGTTCATAACTGACTGCTTGTCCAGCTGTGCATGGATATGAATTCCACTGCACACCAAATGGAGTTTAACTTCTTCACTTGCAGCTGACTAGGTAAAAATCACTATTTGTTACTTCCAGCTCCTATATAATCAGTCATCCACAGATATTCATTCCTTAATGAAAATAAAGAGGAATCATAGAGTGTTTTTTGATATAAAGTGCTACTGGTAGGTTATTTGTCATCAGTATCAGGCATGGCGCAATCCCCAGCAGGAGCCATACTACAAGGTAACATTATTTTCTTACAGGTATGTCAGCATTTGAGGTGGACATCCAATGTGCAAGGACATAAACTTTTAGTCCATATTTCAGTAAAAACTTATGATTGTGTTTCTGTGCTGCCTAGATGTCAAACAATTCTTTCTACTGTATGGTTATTGTGATTTACATGAATTTATGACACACTATCTAGAAATGTATTTCAAATAAAACTTTGATAAATATTTTGCCTAACTGGAAACTTCTCTCTCCAAAACCCGTAAGTGAAAATTATGGACTTTTAAAAAAGCTGTAATTCAAAACTGTAGCTAATTTTCTTCATCGTAACTATTCTCATTTGAAAAATATCTATTCATCAAAATGTCACATCTACCTATCACATTTCCAGAACAAAACCAACCATATTATTACGTACTATTAACCATAAAGACTACAAGTCCTAAGACTATAATACCTTGCTTATTTAAATTTTAAAAAGGTGCTTCCTTACTAGAGACTAGGATTCCTGAGCAACCCCCTTTCCTGACTTTATGCATAAAAAGTGGTAAGAGATAAATAAAACATTGAGAAAGCTTCTGAAGTGATCAAATAAGAACTAACTAAGCACACTTTGGTTTTTTTAAAGCTTTCCTCTTGCTCATTTTAAGACGGGAAACACCCAGAAGCCTGGTGTTAATGTCTCTGCTGATTGTGAAAATTGCAGCAATAAAAACTCCAACTGCTTGTTTTAAATTAAGACTTGCAAGACTACATGTGAGATCTGTATCTTTACATTAGTTTTTATAACATTTGGAAGTTTGGTTGCCTGCTTTGATGTTGGTCTATTAATGAGCAGGGGAGCCAAATGCCAGAAAAAAAAATGTTTACTGGAAATGCTCAAGTCAAAACCTGAAGTAATTGGTTTGTTCTACCCCACATGATTCAACATCCTGATTCCCCCAACTACCAGCTCCCTGAGCTATCTGAATGTCTATGCTTTTTTACTGTTGCCAACACATAGTAACCCACAGTGATTGAAAATGGCAGCTGAAGTGCTGCTGCAGCACATTAATTTTTCTCTAAGTGGTCCAATTTTGTCATCTGAATGTTGAAAATCTTCTTTTTACTACTTTTTTTACTTTTAGAGATTTGTCGAATTTGGGGTTGCCTTCACAGAAACCAGAATGCAGCATTTCCAAGACAATTTTTAGATTATCCCTAATAGCTGAAAGGATAATGCGCTTTCTTTATAGCCCTCTGCATTCAAAGAAGACTAGTTAACAGCAACTTAAGTGTGATAATGGCAATTACATCAATATGTTCCTTTTACACCACCAAAAGGTACTGCTTCAGACAGCTGAAGACATTAGGTAAATAAACTGCTGGAAATTACCCGAAAGTAATTATGTAATTTTAGGACCACTAAATACATCTATTTACAAAAAGCCCAAATAGCCGTGTCCATCTAGGAATAACAATTCTATATAAATTACTTGATCAACTGCAGTGTTTTTTACCAAGACATACCATATATACTCAGTTCCTTCGTTACATGAAAGGAAATTGAAGCCTGAAATTGAATATCCTACTCTAAAGGTACATCACTTTCATGGCAGTAAAAGAAACACCCCCCAAATGGTGAGCCAGAAGGAAAAAAAAAATATATATATATAAAACAAACAAACCACATCAACAACAGACCAAATGCTACATATCAATGACTTAAAGCAACTTTTTAAAAACACAAAATACATGTTTTAGTATCTGTATCATTCAAGTAAAAGGTTTGGAAAGAAGCAATAGGCAAGGAAAATTTAGGAAGTTTTTTTTTTTTGCCAGAGGTATAAACCAGAATACAGTTCCCAAGAAACATCTGGTCCCTGGAAAAGGTCCCAACTTATTGATGGATAACTGGATTTTGCTTGGCTTTTGGGTTGCTGGATTATGAATATTGATTTGCAAAGGTAATAAAAGGGTAGGCCAGGCCACATCCCCATTCAAACTCAAGAAAATAGTAACAAAAGAATAAAAAACTATGAACATGTAGTCTCATAAAACAACTTGCAATGAGATAAATGTTCTACACAGCCACCAAAACAGCACTCCTGCCATAGCAGGTTTCAAATTATTTATTATAGGGTAATACTAACCACAAATTAGGTTATCTTAGTAAACACAGTATCGCTGATTAAATGAGATTACAAGAATTACTCATTTTCACTTTTTCTAAAATGAAAAGGAAATGGAAGCATATGGCCGGTGGTGATCAAAACTTCTTTTAAAACTCTCCATAAAAATATCTATTATTCCAGCCTACCCACCCATTAAGGAAGGAAGCATATTTGTTTCAAAGGCCTGGAACCGAGAGGTCTTTTATTACAAGATTTCATTTGTTTTCTGAACTAATTAGAAGGTCTTCCCCATTCATCCCTCCACGCAGTAGCGTGTAGGCCATACCCAGAGCGCGGGAGAAAGGGCTTTCTAAATCCCCCTCCCAGAGAGGAGGAATCAGAAACCACGCCACAGTGCCTGTCATAAAAGGTCACTTTTTTTGCTCGGAACAAACCATTAATCAATAGAGTGTAATTGTCCGAGCGTTCGCAAGGGCTCTGCAGCGGAGGGACCTTATTTTTCACTCGCATAATTGCAAAACAGCTAAAGTTCAGAAACATAACCCAAATCCACCTCCCCATTTTACCCCTTTACAATTCCCACTGCCCTTTGGGCCTCTTCTTGGAAGCAAATGGAAGACAAGCTGAAGTTTTCTCAATTGAGCCGGAGCTAAGAAACCTTTGATATGCTAATACCCTCCTTCAAACGGTAAGAATTCACACTTGCATTAATTCAAACAATTTCTGCAGAATGATGCGAAATGGCACCTCTTTTCGTGGCAAGCAACAAAAGGAGGGAGCCGGGGCGTCTGAGGAAACCAAACAGCAGAACATTTGTTCCGCAGGATTCCTTCCGTCGCGCACAGGGGCATTTCTGGGCAAAGAAAACACACCTGAGCACCAGCAGAGCTCTTTACTTTCTGACAAACCGCGCTCAAATCCCAGCAGGGCCGGCGCAGACTAACAACAAGATGTTATTTTTAGAGCCAGACACAGCAACGGTGCCTCATGACACACTGTTTTCTGTCTCCAGATGGCCCCAGATTTCTACATGTGAAAATAAATAGAAATAAAATGAAAAAAAAAAAATAAATAAATAAAAAAGAAAGGAAAAAGTTGCTCTCGCCCCACAGCCGACAAAGGGTAATTTATTCTTCTTCCCACAGCCACCCCCCACCTCGCACGGGCTGGGAGCCGGGCGCTCGGCAGAGTTCCACAAATAAACCCGCAACAGGTAATTATTTAGCGAACGGATGGAACTTTGCGCGCTGCGCGGAGCACCGGGCCTGCTGGGCGGGCGGACCCCGGCCCGCAGCCCCCGCGGCGGGGCGGCAGCGGCGGCGGCGGGGGCTCGGGACCGCTCTGGCAGGAGCATTTTGCCGCCGCGGCTGCCGCAGGTCCCTCCGCAGGGCGCGGGGGGGCGGCGGCGGAGCGCGGCCGTTCCGCGCGGGGGGAGCGCGGCCGAGCGGAGCGGCGGCGCCGCCGCGCCCAGAGCCGCGGGCTCACCGAGGGGCGCATCGCTCCGCCGGCCGCGGCCCCGCGGCAGCGGCAGGCGAGGCGGACCCTAAAGTAAGTGCATCCCTGCCGGCGGCTCGGCAGGGGAACGTCCAGAAGTCAGGGAACGCGCGGCGAGGCTGCGGCGCGGGGCTCCGCTTACCTACGTCTGGGAGCCGAAGGCGGGCCGGGGTCTGTGTCCCCGGCGGGACCCGCGGTCCGGGTCAGCCCGGCGAGCGCGGGGCTGCGGGAGATCGCGGCGGAGTTAGTCCCGGGGCCCCGGCGGCGGCGCGGGAGCGGGCGGGCGGGCGGTGGGCTGGGGCGGCAGCGGGCGGCAGCCGGCGCTGCGGCTCGGAGGGCTGGGGCAGCGCAGAGCAGGGGCGGCTTCTTCTCCACGCAGCCGGCCGGGAGGATCTTCTGGGTCTAAGTCAACATTTTCCTGCACTTCCCCACACTCCGCTCCGCAGCAAACGCGCGATGCAGCCAGGCTCCCGCACGCACGCACGCGAGAAATAAATTCAATTAAAAAAAAAAAAAAAAAAAAAAAAGAGCCGAAATGGAGAGGAGGACGGGCGCAGTGCAGTGTGTGTGCCCAGCCTCAGGAGTCCCTTCTGTGAGGCGATCAGGAGACGATACCAGCAGCTGGGGCAGCGGGGAACAACTCGAATGTTACAATGGACCCCCTCCTCCGTGTCTCTGTCGCTCGCACCGACCGGATTCACATCTCCCGGGATGACATTCTGGCCTCTGGCGGAGTGCGGGGCCGGCCCTTCCTCGGATTTTCTCCTCTTCCTCCCTGTGCTGCTGCCCCGCCAACGACTGGAGATCGGGCGCCGGGCGCTGAGCGAGAAACGCGCGCGGTAATGGGAAAAACGCAATACATACACACCAAAAAAAAAAAAAATCCCAATGAATGTATGGCAGCCTCTCCGTGCTCGAGCACCGCTCCGTCTGCGGCTGGGGAGCGCCAAGTCCTGACACGGACTCTCCGCCGGCTCTGAACTGGAGTCACCTCCAGCCTCCTCCCCCTCCAATCTCCACCCCTTCTCCCTGCGCTCCCACCCCTGGGCTCAGCTAATCATATAAACATATTATCACGTAGAGCGGCATCGGCGAAGGACAAAAATCTCTCCCTTCCTGTCTTTTTTTCAGTTCCCCCCCCGCCCTTCATTCATTTGGTGGGGGGGGCTGAAGGCTAATAGCGGCCGCTCGGCACCAGAGGCCGCGCAGACCGGCTGAGCGCTGGCGCTGCCCGCGCCGCTGCCGCGGATGCCGAGGGGCGCGCACCGCCGCGGGGCCGCTCGCCCGCCGCCGCGGAGCCGCTGGGCGCCCCTGCCCGGCGCCTCGGGCCCCGGCGCTGGCCGGGCCCGGGGCCTGGGCCCTGCCGCCGCCCCCTCCCTCTGCCTTCCCGGCGGCTGCAGGCGCGCAGGCCGGCCGGCCGGAGGCGTCCCCGCCGCACCTTCGTGCCCGTTCCCGACCGCGCGGCGATGCCGCGCACCCCGCCTGGTGCGGGGGCCCGGGCGGCGCTGCCCGGACGGCTGGGCTCGCCGCGCCGGGGCGGCTCTCCGCGCCGCAGCGCCTGTCCCCCGCCTCCCCTTCCCCGGCATCACCCAAAAATCGTTCACCGGCTGGGCGAGCAGCGAGAGAGGGCAGGCGGGGCCCCGGCACCCCAGCGCCTGCACGGCTCCGCTGGTCCTTTCCTTCGCTCCCTCGCACTGACATGGCCCGGCTTCTGCCCGGCAGGGACGGCGCGCCGAGGCACAGAGATGCGTTAGGGAAAACATGTCAGGGCAGGGTAAACAGCACTTGGAAACGATTTAAAGGATACTCAGTTGACTCACTGCTGTGCTCGGATGCAAAACCCAGTCTAGTAGTGTTGTTGCATTCTCCCAAAAATCTGCTCTCGGAAACCAGGTCTGGGATTGTAGGGTTTGGGTTTCTCCTCTGTAGGGACGCAACACACGGAGAATCCGCTCTGACCTTTCAGGATGTGCCACACGGGCAATTCCCGGCTCTCAAGGTCAGGGAGAAGCAGCTGGGCATTAGCGAGGGCCGGTGCCAGCGGGGAGCGAGGGCCGTGCGCGCGTCCCAAGCTCCGCGCCCGCCCGGGGCTGCGGTGGCCAGAGGGAGCGACAGCCGCGGTCAAAGCAGCTCAGACTTGACCTGATAACTGGCCCCTCTGCCCCCTCCCTTTGTTTGGGGGTTTTAGCCATCCCCTCCCTCGCAGCAGCACTGAAATGAAATCCTCTCAACTGCCTCGACTCACGAAATCGCATGTACTAGGCAGGACCACTTGGGGCTTGACCAACTGCTTTAGGTCCAACGCGCTTTGACAATCCAGAGTACAACAGCCACGCCACACCAGAGAATCAGAATCATTACCTTTGTTAATAGGAATGATTTATTTTTTTACTTAATCATCTTGATGTCTTTGCATACCTGCACAATTAGTGTTTAGAAATCATAGGATGTATTGAGAAAAACGTGACGTTAAAAAGAGACTGGATCTTGAAGACCTTGCAATATGGAGTAGTGAGAACCATAGAACTGATCCAGGGCTCTTCAAAACTACATTAAACTTTCGACAATCTTGGGGGTGAATATCATCTAGAAGTCACTGAAATATGAACATGCCATAGCCATGCTGACCTTCCTCAGTTCAGGGTGTCTGTCCAGCGGACTGGGAGTGGAAGAACAATCTCAAGCTTTTAGAACCAAAGGAGGTGTTCTTCCATAGTGAGCAGCTCACCTTCCTGAGGCTGATTTCAACTGGGTTAAATCTGCAAAATGCCTCAAACAGAATGGAAGGAGAGATCATCTGTCTATGTAACAGTTTTGTACCTACTATATATACAGTTAAAAGTAGGGGTTTCTATGAGAGCAACATATAGCAAAAGAGCAGTCTCTATTAAGTTCTTGGTGTATTCTTAATATAGCCAATTGCCCTTTCTTGCTATCCTTATAAACACCTGTATAAATCCTAAATAACCCCTTATGCATTTCTAATGGAATTAAATTATACAGTCATTTTAATGTATTTAATTAGAAGCTGACTTTCATTGAAAGGATTGACTTGCTATGACTTTACCAAAGTCTGTCTTCCTTCCTTCCTTCCTTCCTTCCTTCCGCCCCTTCCTTCCGCCACTTCCGGCACTTCCTTCCTTCCTTCCGCCCCTTCCTTCCGCCACTTCCGGCACTTCCTTCCTTCCTTCCGCCCCTTCCTTCCGCCACTTCCGGCACTTCCTTCCTTCCTTCCGCCCCTTCCTTCCGCCACTTCCGGCACTTCCTTCCTTCCTTCCGCCCCTTCCTTCCGCCACTTCCGGCACTTCCTTCCTTCCTTCCGCCCCTTCCTTCCGCCACTTCCGGCACTTCCTTCCTTCCTTCCGCCCCTTCCTTCCGCCACTTCCGGCACTTCCTTCCTTCCTTCCGCCCCTTCCTTCCGCCACTTCCGGCACTTCCTTCCTTCCTTCCGCCCCTTCCTTCCGCCACTTCCGGCACTTCCTTCCTTCCTTCCGCCCCTTCCTTCCGCCACTTCCGGCACTTCCTTCCTTCCTTCCGCCCCTTCCTTCCGCCACTTCCGGCACTTCCTTCCTTCCTTCCGCCCCTTCCTTCCGCCACTTCCGGCACTTCCTTCCTTCCTTCCGCCCCTTCCTTCCGCCACTTCCGGCACTTCCTTCCTTCCTTCCGCCCCTTCCTTCCGCCACTTCCGGCACTTCCTTCCTTCCTTCCGCCCCTTCCTTCCGCCACTTCCGGCACTTCCTTCCTTCCTTCCGCCCCTTCCTTCCGCCACTTCCGGCACTTCCTTCCTTCCTTCCGCCACTTCCTTCCTTCCTCCCTCCCTCCCTCCCTCCCTCCCTCCTCAGATAAGCAGTGATACCCCTGAGCTAACAGACTTTTGCTTAGTTGATGAGAACAGCATTTAGCCAGAAAACTGTTGATAATACAAGAATTATCTGGGGTTGATGGTTTTCCTTTGAGAAGACATGAGAGAGAGTTCTTCTGTTTGCAACAACAAAAAAAAAAAGTCTGTTGGGTTCTCTAATTTTTTTTTCTGCCCACAGAAAGATTGAAAAGAACTGCAGAACTAGGCTTTGTGCTAATATTTGCAGAAGTCAAAGTGAATTCACCTATGTGGATTCAAATGTAGGACTGAAGTTCATTTTCCCTCTTTTCATCAAAAACTTCTGGAATCATATTTCTTCCTACATGCAGAGATGGAGTTTTACAACTCTTTTACAATGGAAAGCTGTAAAACTGAGTTTTAAACAATTGCTAAAAATGCAGAGACCATTTAGCATTTGTTTCAAAAACATGTTTCCATTAATCCTTATTAAAACTGCATTAAGATATAAGAATACCTGGCAGAGGTGTATATTATTTTGGCAAGTATAATACTGTTATTCAAATGATTAATTTTACTTCACATGAATCAGCATATGTTTCTTTAAAAGAAAAATTGTACACACATGTACCCATGGCATACTTAAATCTGACCCCTTAGTTTTTACTCAGACACAATTATTGCCAGATTTGAATATTAATATGTAAAATTAATTATAACAAGTTCCTTTCCACCGTTATGACTTCCTACTATTTGCTTTTTGACATATCCCTATAAAATATGAATCTTATTCCACAGAGACTCCAAAACTAAGTACAGACAAATAGATTTTCCTTAAATTCTTGCCTTGTTGCAACAGTGCAAAATATCTAGCTTGAAAACACAAGAAAAAATGTTATATTTTTATCAAAATAATTTGCAATATTTTATCCCCAGTCTTTAACTAATGTTAAATTTATAACATTTCATGTTAAGGTGTATATTCTGTATGCATTCTCTCCAGTTACTTTCATGAATCTGCTGGATGATTGAAAACTAAAAGCAAATCCATATTTTTTAAAAAAATATTTTTGACATAAATAAAAATTTATTTTAAATATTTTAAATATATTTTAAAATAATCACAAGAATTGTGTATCAATTAGCATTTTCAGGGAATATGTATAGGACAGTAACGACTGGAAAAGATTGACCTGCCAGCTGTATGCTTGAAAGACATGCATCTGCAAAAGGTGATTTAACTTGTGGCAAAAATTGGTCAAATTATGATGTCTGTAATATGATCTTACAGGCTGCTCTAGCTTTTTCTTTTTTTCTTTTTCTTGGTCATATAATTGCATTTTATATCTGCCTACTCTTAAAAAGGTTAATTTGAAATGTTTCAATACCTTGATAAATAATATTTTGTATTGCCCTAAGTATCAGTTCC